TATATATATATATATATATATATAGGAAAGAAGATTATTCGCGGCCTGCCCAATTGGATTGGACCCACCATTTAAACATATCTATATTATGCTGCCGGTTATTCAAATATAAAATCAAATTCAGATGACATGTCAACATTTAGGTTTGGGTCTATGATTTTTTTTTGGAACACATTTTTATATGAAAACCCCGATCAACAGTACAATTTTAAAATATCTGCATGTTTTTTTTTTCCTAACAATTAAATACATTATGTACACATCAATTTTTACGTCTTATCAAAAGAAATATTTCTAAATACGACTAACTATATTGATTGCCCCACTTTATTTTTCCAATGCATAGGGACTTTCTGCAAGTTTATGTACATGTGCATGCACAAACGAGTCAAGAATATTATAAGAATCTTCACTATGAAAGACACTTAATTATTTAGGGGAAAAAAAACACCAAACCTCTCAATGAATAATATATTTTCTTTTTCAAAGTTTCCTATACAAGACGAATGACAAATATGCCCCTCTAGCAGAAAATCAGGAATCCAAATGTATTATAGAAACAAATCATGTGAATATGGACTTATTAATAGAGACCCCCTCTCTCATTCACTACCATCTCACATCGCCTCCGACCCGGAAACCGCCCGGTTCCGGTGGCGGCTCTTCCCGTGGCGGTGGCCACGGTCACCAAAAGTGACCGGATCGTAAACCCTAAGACGCTTGGCCTCAGCCGGATCGACCACACACTCCGGCGGAGCAACTTTGTACCTTGTCTGGTCATAGCAGTAAGAATAAGTCATGCGTTTCCTCCGGAAGTTCTCCATCTTTCTCCTCTGAGAGGACGTCAGCTCCGCCACGTGGCTGAGATCCTCGGCCGAAGCGTCGCATGTGGGGAACTGCTCGATGGGGTCGACGGTGCAGCCGTGGAGGACGAACTCCGAGAACTGGGCGATGTAAGGGGCATATTTGTAATTAACGCCGTACTTGCCGCCGTCGGTGGCCCATTTGGAGCCGTCCCATATGGTGGAGTAGAGAGACATCGGTTTAGACGGGAAGTCACCGCCCATCGACTCACTCCGCTTCACCTCTCTGATTGGAACGTTGTCCACGTAAAATCTGCACATCATGATACCAAATCCTCCATCCTGTTCAGTACCGTGAATTCTCACAACAGCTGAAATAAGGTTCATCCGCTGTAAAACAAGGGAACATTTTGGGGAAAATTCCGGTTTTTGATGATCTGGGTTTAGATTCTTTCACTTAAAAAGGTTTCTGAGATGATGGCTTACTTTTTTTGTGGATATGTTAGTGACAAGAACCAAGCAGTAACACCATTTCTAGGCCTTACTTGGAGTGGGAAACAATAAGTGGTTTTGTGACAAAACAGGAAGACATTTCTCAGATAACCAGAAAAACCCCACAAAGCTTTCCTTAAAATAGAGACATCACCTGAAAGCTGCGTTCTGTCCCAAACGCAGCAAGAGCTAAGTACTTGCGGGATAACCAAATAACCAGAATCGGGTTAAGCCCATCTACCCACAGATTCAAAGCACTTTAAAAGACAATAATTCAGGTTTTTGTTAGAAGATTATAACACTATTTATGCTACCCTACGTTCTAGGTTCAAGACGATTAAGGCTGGAAAATCTGACTATTTTCTCAAAGGATTTATATAACCCGGATGCAGGGCAAGAAGAGTAATCTTGATCTTATCATCTCGGAGTTGGAGTAGAATGACTTGAAAGATTAGAAATTTTCAACTACCATAATCAAGAACAATCTAACAAACACGACAAAAGCAAAGTTATAACTCAAGGCCAGTGGGTATTTATCACCTGTCATCAGATCATTATACCGGAACACGTAGAAGTAAGAAAAGGGTTTCTTACATGATGTGGGAATCGGACCAGAGGATGCTGTATTGATGGAAATCCTCAGTTGGATCGAACCAGAGATTGTATCTCTCTTCTCTGCCCAAGTGGGTGCTTCCGTTGCCGTAAACGTTCGTCTGAATCCTCCATTCTTTGCCTCTAATGTTTCCCAAGAACTCAAAATCAATCTCGTCATGGTTCTTCTCATACATGTCTCCATTTGACATCTGAAACTCACAAATCAACCAAAGTTCAGGACTTTGTCATCAAACCAATTTAACACTACGCTAACAAAACTGAAACCAATCACTCTTAATCATCCTGGTTGGGCCCAATAGCTTCAAATCACGAGACGGGGAAAAAAATCCCAACTTGAGCCAAAAAAAAAGTGAAGGGTTAAACGAAGCATGGCCAAAGAAGCCATACATCTTCTAATCCATCTTTTCCAAAATTCATGGAAGGGCCATTTCATTGTAATCACTTACATAGAAGGCGATAACAACACCAGCCGTGTAATCTGCAGGAAGCTTGATTTTTGCACTGAAGAACCCATGTAGGTACAGATCATTTGACACAAACCCAGACCCTGCAAGTAATTTTCGTCCAAACATAACATCCACCCAAAAATAAACATCTTGTCAAAACAGAGATGAACGGACTACATGAAAAAAAAAAGAGAGGAAGCAAGAACAGACCGGTCCTCTCGTCGAGAGATAAGCGGGCAGATTTTCCATCCTTACGAACAACCAAGTTCTGGTCACCGAACAGATGCGTGTAACCCTCATCAAAGGAGATAACATGAAGCTTTTCCAGAGCAAACCCAGAAGCCAAACCAGCGAACAGAGCCATAAAAACCAACATACTGCTTAAAGAACACATTTTTATTTATGCCTTTTCTTATTATGACTATCTGTCTCAGATGCCTCTGCTACTGTATAGCTTTGTGGAGATGAAAGGTGAGAGAGAAACGAAGAACAGCTTGCGGAGAACAGCTATTGAGGTGGAGATAAAGAGAAGGGGAGAGAGCCAAAAAGGCTAGTGTGTGAGAAAGAATATGAGGATTTCGTCCGGCTGGTCTTCTTGCAAGGGGTTTTTATTTTTTATTTTTTATTTTTTTTTATTTTTTAATTTGTCAATCTTGAAATTATTTTATTATCCGGCGGTGACAACTGACAATCAGAGGGGGAAAAAAATCTTGTTGGTAATGCTTATTAGCATCCAAGGCTCCGAGGATCTTGTTTCTAAGTATTTCAAGAAATATTAAAGTTGTCTTTCCCCCAGGTATAAATATGGATTGCATGACACAGGTCAATGGATATAAGGACCAAAATCATGAAGTTTTTAATTTTTCAATCGCTATATATTGTGCATGTAGATTGGTTGGTGTGATCATAATGAACCCTAATTAAAGTGTCATTATACCACTTCAGTACATCACGTTTTAAAATTATAATTTCACGATACAAAGTTACGACGAGGGATTTGCCTCTTACACATATGTGCCCTGTTCTACGAACACTGCAATTCACACAAAAAAAAGGGTTACAAATTGCAATTTATACAAGTAAGAAAATGTCAAATGATTTTTATTATTTTATAGTGTGGTAGAAAATCGATATTGGGAAAGCGCTCTACAATTCTCCGCCGTACAAGCATGATATAACTTTTAACGAACAAAATTTTTCCACAAAAAAATCATAAACAATAGTAATGAAAATTATTTGCCAAGTTGTCAAAACTGAAAAACTTTATTATGTTGAATTATGATACAAAACATTAAAAATCATCAGAGAGGCATCGTAAAATTTTGCTTTATAAGCTTTCTTAAGAAATATTATAGGTATTATTGTCTCAAATGTGCATGTAAATAAAGTGAAAAAGTAATTAAAAATGGTAAAAATATTTTTTATTACAAAACCCATTACTAACATCCTGCTTTCATAATTATTTAACATTTTCAAGATTTTGTGGCTTTCTTAGCAAATTGTAACATTTTATTTGTTTATACAATTACAAAGCAGTGGACGAGGATTCGGGGACAAACGGGGTGCATTTTAAGAAAGGTGATACCAATATTCCCCAAAATACCCCTTCCATCGCAAGAATCCACAGATTTGCCCTTCCCCAGAAGTACCGTGCTGTGGCATTCTGCGTAAATAAATCTGACAATAAGAGGACATCCAACGGAAATAAATAAATAACAATAAAACCGTACTGTGATCAAATGTGGTAATCGCGTGAGCCGGCGCGTGAAAACCCCGCGCCCAAGTATTGCAACCACTTTCTGACACGTGGCATTTGATATGTGACGCTGGCTTCACGGGAACGGTGTCGTATTGATTAGCGAACTAACTGCAGCGGTTCTTTTCTTACATGAATATAATGGCGCGATCAACAGCTGGAAATGCAGCAAAAAGATGGCCTACCTTACCTAATCCACACACTTAAGAACAAGACAATATTATATATATTGTGCAAAAACCATTTTGTTATGTTATATACTGTATTTTAAATGTGAAATATATATGCTTGCGTTTCACGTTTATTGTCTGTATGTATGGGTATGGCATGTAGCTGATATATATATAATTATATATATTAGTGTATATACATGTGTATGTGTAGAAATTGTGCAATCATTCTTCAACAATATCACATCTATGCCAATTAATGATAATTAGGTATTTGGTAAATTTTCGGATTATAAAAAAAAATAATGATAATTATGTGTTTGTCAAGTTTAATTTACCCCAGCAAAGAGCTGACCTGGACAGACACATCCTCGCCACGTCAGCGAGGATAGCCGTTAGGTCTTTTGAAGGATCCACCAAGATATCCTCGATTCCTCGAACGGTCAAGCTGAGCGCTACCGTGCCGCGTGATTAACGGCGACGTTGACGCCGTTAATTCCCTTTTCGGCCCGCCAACAAATCGCCGTGTCATCTGGGCCCCACACTTCACGCGCACGAAAAAATAAATAATGATAATAATTACTAGATTCGGTCGGGGAAAAAACTTTTTTTCCTAACTTTTTAAAAATTTAATTTATCTCGGGCAGATCTCAACGGTCATCGTTCCAACCAGTTTGCCGGGCGCACGTTAACATGAACGAAGGGACTTCGGCTAACATTCACACCATTTTGGGAGGAAATTGGAATCTGTTGAGAGATCCCAAATGTAGAATATTCACGCGAGGGTTGCATTGGTCTGATCCCAAATAATCAACGAGAGTGAATCGCAGCCGTTGGTAATTGCATGGGATGTTGTCCACGTGGAAATTTCTCGAGATCCAACGGCTCCGATCCATGAGTTTTGGTCAAGGTATCCCTAGATAGACATTGTAGTTTATGCCATAACCCCGTCGACAGTT